TGTTCATCGATTTGTTTGAGCGGGTCCAGCTTGAGATGAACATCTCCATCATGAGACTTGTTGTTACTGTGTTTGCCATATCGAATACATCACGGGTAGCTTGCCAGGCTTTGCTGTGTGGGTGAGATACTCTCGGTAGCTTGCCGGGCTCCCCAAGAGGGGTGGAGGAATCGAACTCCCGTTGGCTGCGTGGGCCACGTGTGCAAGCCAAACGCCCTACCAGCTGTGCTATTGCTCCAGCCCCAATTATTTATTAAAAGATTATAAATCATTTTAATATCACACAGGATGAAATACTTTTAAAAAATTTAAAGATTATCAACATTATTCATTTATTAAATATTATAATTAATTTTAACATTCCACAGAATTATATGCTTTTAACCTGATAAATAGGTACAACATGCTTTTCATGATAATTCCAACCATAAACTAGAATATTTTATTATTTGTTACTTATTGAGTTGATGCAACAAATCATTTCCCACATTCTAGGCTTGGGAAATTTATTTTCTATCTCCTTATAAATTAAAACAGGAGAAAAATGTCACTATCAAACCAACACTAGATGACTCTGGTACATAGTTTCACAATTTGAAGCAATGGTGCTACAAGTTCATTCTTAGTTTTCATTAGGAATGAAGGGTTTCCTTTAGCTCAGGACAATAATAGAATTTGCTTTTAAAGATTTGTCTCAGAATATACCTAAATTTATTATTTATCTCAGCCTCTATTCTATAGCACATCAACAAATATTTCATAACTTAGATGAATGTAATAACCTCTTTCAACTCCCATGTTTGTCCATCTAAAGTCATTCTTTACACAGAAGCCAGATTGATCTTTTGAATATCAACTAGTTTAGAGTATTCCCTTACTTAAAAGTCTCCACGGGCTTCTTTTTAATACTGATGAAATAAAAATTAGCAATTTATTATAAATATCTACTAAATCTTTAAATATCTTTTCTTAATCATTCCTCAGTTCTGCCTTTCATCCTGAAAAGTCCTGGGGGAGGTGGATCAATATGGATGACACTAATGTATTTTTTAGCACTTTTGCAAAGAGCCATTAGGGATCTCTGGCATGAGGTAGGAGGTAAGGGCACTTGTTACCAGGTGGCCCCTAACTCCAATCATAGCCCTTTTTAAAGTTACAGTCCTTCCCAAGCATGTCTACTGTGTTCTTGTGAGCCTGGTGGTGACTCCATTTTCTCAGCACCAGAAGGGGTCAGACTAAACAGGTAGCTGGTTTACCTTCAAGTGCATTGTACGGAACTTAGTGGTTGATTTATCAAATCCACCATTATCTTTGCAAGTATTTTTTTCATTAAAATATTACAAATTATCCCAGTTTATATATGCCCTCTGTTTCTTGTTGATATTTTTAAAAACATTTTTAATTGGATCACCACATATTACAGTACAAGTGATTTATTCTTATTTTTTTTCAACATCAATCCCTGATTCCCTATCAGGGAATCTGTCACTTTTCAGCCCCACCAACCTTATTCCAGGCTCCCATATTTAATACCTTCCGTAGCATTGGCCTCCTTTCCTCTCCACTCACATTCCACTTTATCCACTGTTCTCTGCTTAGAAAGTCTTCCCAGTTAATAGTTACACATCCAAGGTTCATTTGTGTAAGTATCATCTTTATAAAGGCCTTCCTTGAGAAGGTGGCTAAGTATCCCACACTTCCCAAACACTTTTTACCAATTTTTATGTTTTGTTTTTCTCAAGTCGGTTATCATTAACTGAAATAAACAGTCATCTTTGTTTCTTAAAGTTTTGGTTTTCATTGAAAAAATGAATAAAAACTTGTCTTACCTATGCCTCTTTCTAACCCCAGTGCTTAAAACTAAAACCTGCCACAGAATAGATTCTGGACAAATGGTTGTTAAGTGTCTGTTAAACAAATATATTTGGACCATTTCATTTTATTTTTTAGATTTACTAGAAAAATAGTGTTTTTACATGCCATTCTTGAAAGGGAAGCTGAAATCTATTAAATTAGACTTTATTTTGGTCTTCACTGGGAGACCTGAGCCAATATATGTAACCTCATTGCCCTTTCCAATTTACAGATAAGGGCTTTCCTTTTTTACTTACTATTTATGGGAGACTTTTTGTTTGTTTGCTTGCTTTTTTTATAATGTACCAAATACCTTAAAAAAAAACAATAGATTTTCTATTCTGCATTTACCTAATTCATTAATCTCATTAATTTCATTTCTTTCTCACACTCTAGACCAATGACTTCTTATACTATAAAATACTGAATAAGTTAATATTTATATGATGACTTGAGAAAAACTTGCTATTGGAGAGGTGGAGAAATCAAGACCTGGAAGAACTTTGAGGAAGTCACAGTATCTATATAATAAAAAACAGTATTAGTAACTTGCTACTTACTTGGTAACTAATAACAACATATGAAACATTCAACATAAAATCTGTTTAAATTCTTATATATTCCTGATAGCAACTGTATAAATATCAATTGATCATCAATGTTTCTCTATAGTATACATGTATTTATGTATGTATATGTATATAACTTTCTCTTAGGGGAAGGGGCTGAAATTTAAGGAGTCTTGGAAATTATTAAAGGGAACTATGGTATAGAATCTGACAAGTTTTCCTAATCTTAAACCCAAAGTGTGATCTTCACTCTGATGGGTTTTGGTAATCTTGGGTAGAGAACTGTAAGTTATCTGTTTTTAAAATCTATTTTATTTACATAATGTGTTGTGCATATTCTTGTTTTCAATAGGTTTTCAGGCCTACAATGTTCTCCTTTTGGATCTTACACCCCTGAACCCCATCCCTCCACCACTTACCCTAGATTCTCTTATAATCCTTAAATAGACTGCTTGACATTACACTCTTAAATTGCTGTCACTTGGGGTCCCATGCTTATATGGTAGGATTGGATCTAGTGGTTTAGGCAATGCAGGTGATTGGCAGTATTTAAGCAAGGAATAAAGTAGAAGATTCCAGTAGGGTTTAGACATATCTTGGAAGGCTGATAAATGTAGCATAGTGCTCCCATAAGAATAGTGAGCACAGAAGAGTTGATTTAAGGCTAAGAGGAAGAAGTTACAGCCACAGTTACAAACTCAGAGATATTCTTAAAAGCTCATCACAAAGATTATGCTTTTATACCCCTTTGATATTTTTTTCTTTCTCTGTGTACTTAAGAAAAAATTCTGGAAATGATATAAAAAAAAACCAGTAATATCCAAAGCATCAAGGAAAGTTAAGGAAAATCTTTCTCTCTGACTCAGTGACAAGAGAGATACCAGCTGGATTTTCTCTAGAACAGAGATAGTTGTTCTTAAAACATAGTTACTTGTTTTTGAAGTTTAATAAAGAACATACAGACAGAGTTAGGGAGAAGCACTGAGAATTTACAAGTATCTGACAAGGAAGAGGTCAGTCAAAAAGTTTAGTGACCTGTTACTGCCAAACGAGAGACTTTAGATCATTAAGGGCTGACTTTCACTTATTGTAAGGTTCAGTATTAAATATAGTTCCTTCACAGATTCACCTGTAAATGTCTACTCTATCCTCTAGGTGGAATGTTCTCCATTTCAAAATATTTATGAATAGTCATAAAGAATGGTTAGTCTGACTTTATTCAGGAGGCCAATGGCAAGTTGAGGCACTGTCTATCCATGAGGTATTAATCACCATGATTTAATAATTTTAAATTATTGTCATGTAGGAACTGTTATGCAACTGACACTAACAAAAAATATGTCTGAACTTTACTAAGACTAATTTTGAGTTGCCCAGTGTTTTCACCATAATATTTACTTCTAGTTAAATAGGCTAAATTCTCTAATTCTGATACAAAACAGAAAGATCAGAGAATGAAAATAAATAGATGACATAGCTGTTTAAAGATAATGTAAAATGTTTTCTAACAGCATAAATATTTGATTGTAAAACTTTCAATATGTTGTGTCTATTAACTAGTAATGTACAATATTTAAATAATTCAGCCAGCTGAAGTGGGCCAGAGTCAAGGGCGGGGTGGGGGGGCAGTGAAGGCCCAACCTGGCAATATGCCAATTTGCTGTAATAACACAATCCCAAGACTGACCCCAGACAATAAATCCATTCCATCTGGAGCTTTTTGTAAAGACTAAGTCACAGGCAAGAGCAGAGGGTTAAATAAAGCTCTTCAGACATTTAACATTTATCAGTTATCTATGCTAATTGGATTTACTCAACCATTTCTATTTATCACTTGTATTGTTGGACCTTCAAATTTCCAATCCATTTGATATTCTTGGCATGATTCTTTAACTTTGTATTTAGAAATGGGGAAACAGGTGATATTTACAGAATGCATACAGATATTACGTGGAATTACTATGACATTCCAACCAGCCTATTTGTTATTCTGCCTGTATAATATGTCAGAGCATTGAATTTGTGGTCAATAGGCTTGTATTTTAACTCTGTGAACTTAAATGATTCTCCGACTCTTCCTGGGTCAAAGTTTTAATCATCTGTATAGTAGCACTGTTGCACTGTCCTCTCGTTGTTCATCGATTTGCTCGAGCGGGCACCAGTAATGTCTCCAATGTGAGACTTCTTGTTACTGTTTTTGGCATATCGAATATGTCACAAGTAACTTGCCAGGCTTTGCTGTGGGAGTGGGATACCCTCGGTAGCTTGCCAAACTCTCCGAAAGGGACAAAGGAATAGAACCCGGGCTGGCTGCATGCCAGGCAAACGCCCTACCCGCTGTGCTAGGGCTAACACTTATGCCCTGCTATTAAACCAGGTAGTTCGGATGATCACACAAAAATAATATTTAAAAATATAAAAGTTCTGGGCTGGAGTGATAGCACAGTAAATAAGGCATTTGGTTTGCACACGGCCAAGCGGGTTCAATTCCCATCATCCCATATGGTCCCCCAATATATAAAGTATATAAAGATATACTTTTAAGTATATCTTTAAAGGACTATACTTATTTCCTGCATTGGCTGAAAATCACCCAGAGCTTTGCTGTGGCCGTGGGTAAAAATTTGGTGCACAGATCCAGTGGGTCTTCAGCTAACCACCCACTCTTTGGTGTGGGGAGGCAAAACCCAGGCGCCTCCATGCTTCAAGGAGGTGTTCTAGTCTCTGCCGTCTTCACCCACAGGACACCTGGAGTGTCCCATTCTGACGCTCCACCTATTGCACCACCACGGAGGGAGGAAGGGAGGCAGAGGAATCTGGTTTTTCCTCTTTTCAATAAAGTTGCTGATGCTGAAAAAAAAGGGGGGGAGCAATGGATTTATTTAATTGAGGATGGCATTTACTTAAGACAATTCCTTCTTTTAAAAAATGTGTTTATCTGGGCTGGAACGATAGCACAGCAGGTAGGGCGTTTGCCTTGCACGCAGCCAACATGGCCAACACAGGTTCTATTTCCAGCATTCCATATGGTTCCCCGAGCTCTGCCAGGAGCAATTCCTGAGTGCCTGAGTCAGAAGTAACCCCTGAGCATCACCGGGTTTGACCCAAAAAGCAAAAAAAAAAAAGTGTTCATCTAACATCAAGCTGAACACGAACATTACAAGTTTGTTGATTGAATGAATAAGTGTGTTTGGCAGCATAAAATATTCTCTCTCTAGTTCTCCAAGGTCAGTAAAACGATGGACATTTTTAATTAATTAATTAATTTTAGGGAATCACCATGAGATAAAAGAGTTTTTGTGATTAAGTTTCAATCAAGCAATGTTTGAGTACCCATCCCTCCACCATTCCCCTTTCTCCACCACCAATGTTCCCAGTATCCTTCCTGCCACCCATCCCTTTTCCTCCCCCTGCCTCTGTGACAGACACATTCCCTCTTACTTTCGCTCTCCTTTTGGGTGTTATGGTTTGATATATAGGCACTAAGTAGCCATCATGTTTGGTCCACAGTCTACTTTCAGCACACATCTACCATCATGAGTGATCCCTCCAACCATCATTTACTTCTCGCTCCCACCTGCCTTTTCCTCCAGCACATGAGATCGGCTTCCAAGCCATGGGGTGATCCTCCTGGCTTATCTCCACTAAGGGATGGACATTTTTAAAAAATATTTTCTTATTTAAAGTATCATGATTTACAGAGTTATTGATAGTTGAGTTTTGGGCATTTAATATTTCAACACCAATTCCACCACCAGTGTCAACTTCCCTCCATCAGTGTTCTCCATCTGTACCCCCATTCCCCTGTCCCTTCACTCTGCCTGCTACCTTGACAGGAATATTGCTAAGTCCCAGTGGTTGCAGCTTAAATTTCACATTTTCCATGTCGTTGAGTCTGTGTTTTGGATCTTTGGCTATCCCACTCTCCCCCGTCACCAGTATAACTGAAGTCCTGACCCCAGTACTTTTCTTTATTGACTTGTCTTCTTCCTCACCCTCTTATTTTCTTTCCATGTCTTCCCTAAACTCTGTGACCTAGGTATCTCCCGTTCACTATAATATGGTGCAATATGTTTTAAATGCAGTTATTCTATGTGTTACAGATCATCCCATATTTGTCTTCCTACTTCTGTCTTATTTCACTCAACACAGTATCTTCCATTTTCAAGCAGGTTGCAGCAAATTACAAGATTTCATCATTCCTTGGAGGTGCATAGTATTAATGCATTTATCTGTCCTTGGACACCTAGGTTGATTCCATATCTTAGCTATTGTACTAGGTGCAGCAATGAAAAATGATGTTCACATGTGTGTGTTTTTGAATTAATGTTTTCAAGTTTTGAGGGCAAGAGCGTCAAAGAAGTTGCTAAGAGGATGAAGAACCTCTGGCTCTGGACACATCTTTTTGGCTCCATAATTCTTCCTGCACTAACATACGCCTCAGAGACCTGGGCCCTACAAAAACAAGATTAGAAAGTTATTTGAATATCACAAAGAGGAATTGAAAGATCTATGCCTGGAGTGTCATGCTTCACTCAAGTGAGAGAAGGAATCTGGGACTCTGACCTCTATCAATGATTGAGGATCAGTGATGCTGCCTCATTTGCCAAGGTGTCAAAAATCAGATAGGCCAGACACGTCATGTGATTTGGAGATGACTGCTGGACTAGAGCCGTTACTGACTGGATTTCACAAGACATCAAAAGAACGACTGATAGCCCACCTACAAGATGGTTGGGCTTCTTCGTCAAGACCCTGAACAAACAGTTTGATGCTCTTCGTGTTACTGGAGTGAGCAGACACCATTGGGCTACACTAGCACACGACAGGGATGAATGGAGATGTTACTGGTGCCCGTTCCAGGAAATCAATGAGCAACAAGATGACAAGTGATACAAGTGATATGAGTGAAGTTTTGGGGGTAGAAGACCTAAAGTGGAATTGCTGCATCATGTGGCAGTTCAATTCAAAGTTCAGTGAGCACTCTCCACACTGTTTTCTGTAGGGGTTGACCCAGACAACATTCACACCAGCAGTGGATGAGAGTTCCTATTAAAAGAATGAACTGCAAGAACGAGGAGCTCCCGCTGATCATACCACAGTGAACCTTCAATATTTGCAAGGGTTATATCCTGTAATTTTAAGAATCCTCAAATTCCCTTATAGTATTGGGAAGAAGGGTGAAGCAGTTCTGAGAAACTGGGATGCTAGGTGGCAGTCTGTGCCCTCTTATTATTTTCTTCTGTACATCAATGTCCTATGTATTTAAATTCTTAGGAAAATGCAGATTTGGTGAGAACAGCCTCCATGGTGGCTCATAAACATAAAAGCCAGAAACGCTGAAGCAATGAATGACAAGGATTTGTTATTTTTGTTATTCCAAATAGTTTGTTTGAAAATATAGCAAGCAATGGCAATCACCATGGAAACTGCCATCAGATCATCAATAAAACTGTCATCTAGGGTTGGAGATCTTAGGATAAAGATGGAGGGACCCATGCTATAGCACACTCTGGTGGTGGATATGGTGTTACAACACTGGCTTAGAGCAAAAATATTGGTTCTGTTATTAAAAATAAACCGTTAAAAATTATATAAATTGGTTCACACAAAAATATGATACTACCTTAAAACAAACCTTTGTTTACAGATCTAGTTAAATTCCCTTTTCAGTAATGTTTAGCATTTATTTGCAGTAGTCTTGTTAAATATGTTGCAACTTTTAAATATAAAAACGTTTCAAATATTTTAAATATAAAAAGCAAAAATAATGCTTTCCCTGATGAATATTTTATATACACCTAAGTAGCATCTAAGTGATTTTTTATCTTATACTTTATAAGCCTTTTTCATGTTTATGTAGTGCAACATTTTTCACACTGACAATTTTATTTTTAGCTAGTTTTCAAAGGTTTTGTCTTTCTTTTTAATACTTTAGTGATTTATCCTATAATCAACAGTATTAAATTTTATAATTTACAGTATTAATGACATGTGGCAGGGTTTATTTAACTATTAGAACATAGCATCTAATATTCTTTTTTTTTATTAGTGAAACACCATGAGGTACAGTTGTAGATTTACAATTTTTTGTGCTTGGGTTTCGATTATACAATGATCAGATACCCATCCCTCCACCAGTGCCCATTTTCCACCACCATGGATAATATCCCCCCACCCCCATCCCCCCATCCCCCCTGTCTCTGTGGCAGGGCAATCCCCTGTGTTCTCTCTCTCCTTTTGGGTGTTGTGGTCTGCAAAAGAGGCATTGAGTGGCAAACATGTTCAGTCCATAGTCTACTTTCGACATGCATCTCCCCTCCTGGGAGGATCCTCCAAACACCCTTTATTTGGTGCTCCCTTCTCTATCTGAACTGCCCTTTCCTCTAGGATACCCGGCTGGCCTCTAAGTTATGGAGTAATCCTCCTGGTGCTGATCTCAGCTATTCTTGGGTATTAATCTCATATTTTGTTACTTTATATCCCCCAGATGAATGCAATCTTTCTATGTCTATCCCTCTCTTTCTGACTCATTTCGCTTAGCATGATACTTTCCATATTGTACCACCTGTATGTAAATTTTATGACTTCATCTTTTCTAACAGCTACATAGTACTCCATTGTGTAGATGTACCAAAGTTTCTTTAACCAGTCATCTGTTCTTGGGCATTCAGGTTTCTTCCAGTTTCTGGCTATTGTAAAGAGTGCTGCAATGAACAAACAAGTGCAGATGTCACTTCGACTATACATTTTTGCCTCTCTGGGATATATTCCCAGGAGTGGTATTGCTGGGTCAAATGGGAGCTCAATTTCTAATTTTTTGAGAATCGTTCATACTGTTTTCCAGAAGGGCTGAACCAGTGGACATTCCCACCAACAGTGAAGGAGTGTCCCTTTCTCGCCACATCCACGCCAGCATCGGTTGCTTTTGTTCTTTTGAATGTGGGCCAGTCTCTGAGGTGTGAGATGGTATCTCATTGTGGTTTTGATCTGCATCTCCCTGATGATTAATGATGTAGAGCATTTTCTCATGTGCTTTTTTGCCATTCGGATTTCTTCTTTGAGAAAGTTTCTGTTCATTTCATTGCCCCATTTTTGGATGGGGTTGGATGTTTTCTTCTTGTGGAGTTTAACCAGTATTTTGTATATCCTGGATATCAACCCCTTGTCAGATGTGTATTCGGTGAATATCCTTTCCCATTCTGTAGACTGTCTTTGTATTTTGGTCACTGTTTCTTTGGAGGTGCAGAAGCTTCTTAGTTTAAGATAGTCCCATTTATCTATCTCTGTTTTCACTTGCTCGGCCAGTGGCGTGGCATCTTTGAAGATACCATTAGCTTCAATGTCATGGAGGGTTTTGCCAACTTTATCTTCAATGTACCTTATGGTTTCGGGTCTGATGTTGAGGTCTTTAATCCATTTTGATCTTACTTTTGTACATGGTGTTAGGCAGAGTTCTGAGCCTATTTTTTGCAGGTAGCCATCCAGTGATATCAACACAATTTATTAAAGAGGCTTTCCTTACTCCACTTCACATTACTTGCACCTTTATCAAAGATTAGATGATCATATGATTGAGGGGAGATGTCAGTGTATTCAACCCTGTTCCATTGGTCTGCAGTTCTGCCTTTGTTCCAGTACCATGCTGTTTTAATTATTACTGCTTTGTAGTACAGTTTGAAGTTCGGGAGGTTGATTCCTCC